ATGTGAAAAATCTCCATTTTAGACCCCGGAGATCTGCTGCCAGGCTGCACAGACAAAAATGACCTCGACAGATGAAGAGTCGGAGGGTCAGTATAAGCAGTATAAGCATCACATGTTCACATTCTTCTCCCAACCTTCAGCCACATTTGGTGTAGTGGTGAAGTGCGCGGACTCTAATCTGGGAGAACCGGGTTTGATTCCCCACTCCTCCACTTGCACCTGCTGGATGACCTTGGACAAGCCATAGTTCTGATAACAGCTGTTCTTGAAAAAGAGCAGTTTCTGCCAGAGCTCTCTCAGCCCCGCCTACCTCCCAGGGTGTTTGTTTTGGGGAGGGGAAGGGAAAAGAGTTTGTAAGCTGCTCTGAGACACCTTTGGGTAGTGAAGGGCGGGGTATATATCCATTCTTCTTCTTCTTCTTCTTCCTTCCTCCTTCCTCCTTCTTCCTTCTTCCTTCTTCCTCTTCTTCCTCTTCTTCCTCCTCTTCCTCCTCTTCCTCCTCCTCTTCTTCCTCCTCTTCTTCTTCCTCCTCTTCCTCCTCCTCCTCCTCCTCCTCCTCCTCCTCTTCTTCTTCTTCTTCTTCTTCTTCTTCTTCTTCTTCTTCTTCTTCTTCTTCTTCTTCTTCTTCTTCTTCTTCTTCCACATCGTTCTCCAGACTCTCAATGCCAAGGACTTCCTGGTTGCTTTCACTGTCGCTCTCAAAATTCCATATCCCAGGGAAACCAGTGGGAACAAATGTTCTATCCAAAAGGGGGAAGCTCTGCGCACGTATACTCCAGCGAAGATCCTCTTCTCTGATTTGATACAGACGGACCGTCGAGTTCAAGCTTGTATCTTCCAGTAAAGGACTTCAGAGAAGCAAAGCTGTAGCAGGAAGAATCAATAAAAAGATATCTGTTCCTTCAACAGCTATCAATAAACGTGTCGTCAGCTCGAGCTTTTGGAATTTAGTGTTCGGGTGGAACAGACGGAATGCAGAATGACCACTAGTTTGGTCCTGTATCACCGTTACCTGGAACAGAATGTATGAATGTATGAGCTTGAGTCTAAGCAAGGTATTGTAAACCGACCTATCAGAGCAAGGAAAGTTCTGGAGGGAAGCAAAGTGATTGGTCTTTATGTACAGTTTCTGATTGGATCTCATCTGACATGTGGGCTTGGCTTGCCAAGCCCTGACTGTTTAAAAGGAGCCTGTTGCTCCATTGATTTGTCTCGTTCTGGTTCTTCTGACTTCATGTTCAATAAAGCTGTTATCACTGTCCACCTGCTGCCTCGAGTCTCGTATCTAACACCTGCATTCCCAGAGAAGTCAGAAATTCCTGCAGAGCCTGATTAGCAGGGGTCATTTCCTGCAAGAGCGTACAGGAGCGGAGCTCCGGCAGTAAAGAGGCAAGGGGGCGGGCACATGCAACAAACCCCACCCCCTGCTCCCAGCAGCCCTCAGTCAGAGCAAGAAGCAGCCAGGTAAGTTGCAGAGCCCCCCCCTGGCCCCCCGGTCCAAAACAGTCCAGTGGCACCTTTAAGACCAAGTTTTATTCCGGTACAAACTCTCCCTCCTCTGCGAGGACAGATCTGCACGTTCCCCCCCCCCCAATAGCTAGCAACCCTAAACAGTCCAGTGGAGCCTCAGCGGTGGGTGTTGCCTTCTGACACTCTTCTGGTGATGTCAGGGGGTGTGGCATATGCAAATAAGTTATGCTAATGAGCTATGCTAATGAGCCCCTGCACCTCTTTTTCTACGAAATGACCCCTGCTGATTAGTAAGTGCGATCCTCGTTTGTGAAAATCCAGGAATAGATACGTTCTCTCTTTGCCTCTCAGCATGCAGAAAATTCATAGACTTTTCGGCACTCTGCAGTTGTTCTTAAGCTGTTCAGCGTGGTTTATGTCCAGGCACCAGGGGTTTTCATCAGTTTATCTAGAGATAAAGATACTCTAGCTTGCTTGAGGACACTCTAGCTCTGACTTAGAGAGCCACCCAGGTCCTTTTTGGACCTAAATTGGAAGATGTTCTAATTCAGCAACTGTGCATTTGGCACCAGGCACATGACTTCCATCTTTTGAGGCCTCACAAACATTTTTGTCTTGTGTCTATAGATCTGGCTGCTTAACCTTCCTTTTCTTGGTCCAATATTCACTTATTATTGGTTATCTTATTGTAATATGTATTAAAGTTACGTGCACCTCAATATTGTTTGACCTCTGAAGAAGGCCCCAATAGGCTGGAAACGCGTCAGGTCATGTGTCTTGGCCACCTGAACTTCTTAACGAGGCTTTCACGGGGCCCTTATTTGTTTTTAACTGTCTTTCTAAAAATATATATATAGGCCCTGATCACACGCAGAAGTTGCTATGGGATACTCACGGATGATGGGCGGGTTTTACGGGTGCAATCCAACGGGCACATCTGGCAAGCGTCGCGCACCCGTTGCCAACCCGTCGTGTCCAGCCAAAGATCCGGAGTTAAAAGGTACCGGAGAAAGTCCACTATCTAATGCTTGCAATGGGCCGCAGGCGGACGTCCTCCGTCTGATCGCTCCAGCGCGCTCCCCTCGCTGCATTGAAGTGCGCCAGAAATGCATGCCAACGAAACAAAACCCTGATTCCCCACCGTCGCGTCTGATTGTGCTCGTGCGGGTCAAAGTGCGCCGGTGCAAAAAGCCATGCCTCCCCCCCCGTTATCTGGCCCGTGTGACCAGGGCCATAATTTTGTATATTATAAGGTTCAGCTAGGTTTTTAATATTGGCCCGGCCAGATAATGAAACTGAAGCTCAAAGACTTTGGCCACCCAATGAGAAGGGAGCACTCCCTGGAGAAGACCCTGATGCTGGGAAAGACTGAAGGTCAAAGAAGATGGGAACAGCAAAGGATGAGATGGTTAGACAGTGTCATCGATGCAACGAACATGAAATTGAGCCAACTTCAGAGGACGGTGGAAGACAGGAGGGCCTGGCGTGATCTGGTTCATGGGGTCACGAAGAGTCGGACTCGACTGTGCGACTGAACAACAAAATTAGACTTAGATCTAGCTTTGACCTGAATGGCCCAGGTTAGCCTGACCTGATGAAATCTTGGTCGTTCCTGGTTAGTATTTGGATTGGAGACCACCAAGAAAGTCCGAGGTTGCTATGCAGAGGCAGGCGATGGCAAAACCACCTCCGTTTGTCTCTGCCCTGAACTGGATGGCCCAGGCTAGCCCGATCTTGTCATGTCTCAGAAGCTAAGCAGGGTCTACCAGCCCTGTTTAGTATTTGGATGGGAGACCACCAAGGAAGTCCAGGGCTCCTATGCAGAGGCAGGCAATGGTGAACCACCTCTGGACGTCTCTTGCCTTGAAGACACTGCGGGGTTGCCAGAAGTCGGCTGCAACTTGACAACACCTTCTATCAGCACACCTAGATCTACTTTGCTCACTTTCTCCGCCCACTCCTACACTGAGCATTTCACAGAGGAAGAGAGCGAGCAGCCCTGAGCCAATAGGAAGCCCCCTTTGCAGAGGGAGGCCTCCATTGGAATCTGGGATTGCTTAGCAACCACCTGCCTCTCCATTGCTGCTTTCCAAATAACCATGGCAGCACTCGACTTTGATGTGAAAGCCCCCATAGCAGCTCTCTAGTATCCCCCCCCCCCAAGGCATCTTCATGCTGCCCAAGGATTGTAATCTCCAGGGGTTGATATTTGGGGACAGGAGGCTGATCTGGATGGCCCGGGCTAGCCTGATCTTGGCAGATCTCAGAAGCTAAGCAAGATTGGCCCTGGTTAGTACTCGGTTGGACCACTGGATGGGAGACCACCAAGGAAGCCCAGGGTTGCTACGCAGAGGCAGGCAAGGACAAACCACCTCTGTTCGTCTCTACCCTGACTTGGATGTTCCTAGCTAGCCAGATCTCAGATGCTAAGCAGGGTCGGCCCTGGTTAGTACTTGGACAGGAGACCACCAAGGAAGTCTAGGGTTGCTACGCAGAGGCAGGCAATGGCAAAACGACCTCTGTTCGTCTCTACCCTGACTTGGATGTTCTTAGCTAGCCAGATCTCATCAGATCTCAGATGCCAAGCAGGGTCGGCCCTGGTTAGTACTTGGACAGGAGACCACCAAGGAAGTCTAGGGTTGCTATGCAGAGGCAGGCATTTGCTAACCACTTTTGTTTGTATCTGCCTTGACCTGGAGGGCTAGCCTGGGTCTCATCAGGTCTTGACAGCTAAGCAGGGTCAGCCCTGGTTAGCTCTTGGATGGGAGACCGCCAAAGAAATTAGGGTTGCTACGCAGAGGACGGCAATGGTGAGCCACCCGTGTTCGTCTCTTGCCCTGACCTGGATGGCCCAGGCAAGCCCAATCTCGTCAGATCTCAGATGCTAAGGAGAGTTGGCCCTGGTTAGTACTTGGATGGGAGACCGCCAAAGAAATTAGGGTTGCTACGCAGAGGCAGGCGATGGCAAACTGCCTCTAAACACCTCTTGCCCTGACCTGGATGGCCCAGGCAAGCCCAATCTCGTCAGATCTCAGATGCTAAGGAGAGTTGGCCCTGGTTAGTACTTGGATGGGAGACCACCAAGGCAGCCCAAGGTTGCTACGCAGAGGCAGGCAAGGGCGAACCACCTCTGTTTGTCTCTACCCTGCCTTGGATGTTCCTAGCTAGCCAGATCTCTTCAGATCTCAAAAGCTAAGCAGGGTCAGTCCTGGTTAGTACTTGGATGGGAGACCACCAAGGTAGCCCAGGGTCGCTACGCAGAGGCAGGCGATGGAAGACCACCTCTGTTTGTTTCTGCCCTGACCTGGATGGCCCAGGCTTCCAAACCCTGGAAGCGAAGCAGGGTTGGCCCTGGTTGGTACCTGGTTAGGGAGACCACCAAGGAAGCCCAGGGCCATGATGCAGACCCAGGCAATGGGAAGCCACCTCTGAACCTCTCTGGCCTTGAAAACCAGACAGGGTCCCCCAGACATCAGCTGCCACTTGAAGGCAAAAAGGGGCGAGGAGTAGGAGAGGCCAGCGGTTCGTACCTGCAAGATCTCAGGTAGTCCCTGGCATTTCCAGGCAGAAACTCCAAAGATCTTGGAGCAGAATTTAAAGTAGACAGGACTGCGGTCCTTCACCATGCTCGTGGGCTTCAGCGACGCCTCTGCAGGAGAACCTTTGACTGGCTTTTCTTCTGTCATGTTTTCAAAAAGTTGGCAAGAAGGCATTCTAGCAGAGGACAGCCAATGAACCTTTGGTAATATCGGGATGGTAGCCGCTAAAAAGGTGGCCTATTTCATGCAGTGGCCAACCACTGAAGGGCCGACAACAGGGCACAGAGGCTGACACCTTCCCCTGAGAAGAACCTCAGAAGAGCCCTGCTGGATCAGACCAGTGAAGGTCCATCCCGTCCAGCATCCCGTCTCACACAGTGGCTGACCGGTTCCTCTGGAGGGCCAACCACAGGGCAGAGAGGCTGAGGCCTTCCCCTGAGAAGAACCTCAGAAGAGCCCTGCTGGATCAGAGCAATGAGGGTCCATCTAGTCCAGCCTCCCGTCTCACACAGTGGCCGACCGGTTCATCTGGAGGGCCAGCAACAGGGCAGAGAGGCCGAGGCCTTCCCCTGAGAAGAACCTCAGAAGAGCCCTGCTGGATCAGACCAGTGAGGGTCCATCTAGTCCAGCATCTTGTCTCACACAGTGGCCAACCAATTCCTCTGGAGGGCCAACAGCAGGGCACAGCGGCCAAGACCTTCCCCTGATAAGAACCTCAGAAGAGCTCTGCTGGATCAGACCAGTGAGGGTCCCTCTAGTCCAGCATCTTGTCTCACACAGTGGCCAACCAGTTCCTCCAGAGGGCCAACAGTAGGGCAGAGAGGCCGAGGCCTTCCCCTGATGGTGCCTCCTGACTCTAGGATTCAGAGGATTAGTGCCTCTGAACGTGGAGGTTCCCCTCCGTCACCATGGCTAGTAGCCACTGATAGACCTCTCCTCCATGAATCTATCTAATCTCCCTTTAAGGCTGTCTATGCCTGTGGCCATCACCAATGTTCCCTCTAAGCTTTGGAGTCTTGTGAGCAAAAATTATCCTTTGTGAGCTACTGGCGTTAAAGTTGTGAGCAAGCAATTTGGCTACTGCATAAATTAGTTTGCCCTGGAGCCATCGTTCCTGAGCTAAGGCAAAAATGTGTGAGCCAGAGGCTAAAAAACTGTGAGCTAGCTCACACTAACTCAGCTTAGAGGGAACACTGGCATCACTACATTCCCTGGCAGTAAATTTGAATCACACTCTGCATAAAGCAGTATTTCTTTTTGTCTGTCCTGAACCTACTGCTCATCAGGGCCATGTAGATCTGAGCTGGACACTCTAACCACTCCACCACACAGTCTCAATTCCCCATGTCTGTGTAGAGCCACAGTGTAGAGCTTTCTCCTGTGTATAATGAATGACTGCGACTCATTTCAGTGGAGGAACCGGGGACATCAGAAAGCGCTTTCCCTCGTGGCCCTGTCTTGCCCCTTGGTTTTCTTGGGCAGAGATTCTATACCAGAGCCTCCAGGGCATGGGTGGGCGGCTCCCTCTCCTGCAGTTTTTTGCCACGTGCTTGGCTCTCTCCACACAATCACACACCCCCTGTAGCCCACCTGTCAAAACAAAACCTGTGTTGGTGTTTATGACATCCGCAACCTATTTTTCAGCCAGAAATGGGCTCCTGCGGTGACTCACGGGAATCCAGATCCAATGCAAATGACAGTGGAAGTACAATAATAAAAAATCGCCTTCCCAGTGGTAGAAATTCTGGCCTGGGATTGAATGCGGGTGCAGTGAAGAGGGTGTCTGCCGTCTGCCTTCCTTCTCAGGGACCCCCCCTAGCAAGCTAGAAACTAGAACGAGTCTGAGTTCAAATGCAGGGGGGCCTGTCCTGATCTTCTCCATCCCCACAGGCACCCCAGGATTACAATTAGGTTATTACATAGTGGGAGGGACTGAATCTAGCTGAAGTGATAGACAACTGAAATCCGGTTGCAAGCAAATTGCCTTCTGATCCTAAGCAGTTGTTGGTGCTGAAAAATCGTGGAGGGCTTTCAAGGCAAGAGACATTCAGAGGTGGTTTGCCCTTGCCTGCCTCTGCGTAGCAACCCTGGACTTCCTTGCTGGTCTCCCATCCAATTACTGGCCAGGGCTTAGCTTCCGAGATCTGATGAGGTCCGGATAGTCCGGGCTATCTAGGTCAGGGAACCCAAACTGTTATACCCATTCAGCCAGTCTGGTGTAGTGATTAGCTGCGTGGACTATAATCTTGGAGAACTGGGTTTGATTCCCCACTCCTCCACTTGCAGCTGCTGGTGTGACCATGGGTCAGTCACAAGTTCTTTCAAACCTGCTATCTCAAGGGCAGCTCTCGAGAGAACTCTCTCAGCCCCACCTACCTCACAGGGTGTCTGTTGTGGGGAGGGGAAGGGAAAGAAGATTCTAAGCTGCTCTGAGACTCCAAGTGAAGGGCGGGGTATAAATCCAATCTCCTCCTCCTCTTCCTCCTCCCCCCATTGACTTATTTTATATACTCTGTTTTTACCCTGCTTTTCCCCTCAACAGGAACCCAATCCTTGTTCTCCTCTCCTCCATTCGATCCTCACAACAACCCTGTGAGGTAGGTTGGGCTGAGAGGGCATGGCTTGCCACTCGCTAGCTGCTGTGGCAGGGGGGGGATTCGAACCTGGGTCTCCCAGACCCTAGTCAGACACTCTTGCCACTACGTCACGCCGGCTCTTAGAAGGGTGAAACGCTGTTTTGGATTTCCCTGTTAGCCCAAGCGCCCTTTTGCTGAATTGGTATCCTTTGCTGGAAGGAACATCTCAATCCTGCGCATTATAGTTTCCTACAGGTGTCTTTTCATAGAAAAAGAGCTGCAGGGGCTCATTAGCATATGGTATGCTAATGAGCTACCAGGCTATTAGCATATGTCACGCCCCCTGACCTCACCGGAAGTGATGTCAGAAGGGGAAGCAAAGCGGGGGGCATCTTCAAAAGCCTCCCCTTCCCTTCCCCAGCTGGCCGGGGGTGGGAGGGGAGAAAAGAGAGAAGGGGTTTAAAGTTTAAACTTCTTCTCACTAGAGTTGGACCACAGAAGGAGGAAAGAGGGAAGGAAAGAGAGAGAGTAGAGAGAAGGAAAGGGGGAAAGAAAGAGAAGGAAAGAAGGAGAGAAAGAAAAAGAGAGAAGGGAAGAAGGAGGGAAACAGGGAAAGGGGAAAAAGAGAAGAGAAGAAGGCGGGAAAGAGAAAGAAAGAGAGAAGAGAAGAAGGAGAGAAAGAGGAAAAGAGGAAAAAGAGAAAGAAAAGGAGGGAAAGATGGCAGAGGGAGGGAGGGAGGCTCTCCCACCATCCCCCTTCAAGCCACCCCCACCCCTGCGAATCCCTTACCGCTTCGGCGGGGGCCGGGGATGCTGGCGGCGGGGCTCTCCTGGCGTCCCCCGAGCCACAGCGCTTTCGGCGTGGGGAGCTAGGGGCGAGCTCCTAGGCTGCCGGAGCGGTACTCCGGCGCGCTCTGGCCCCAAAAGACCCCTGGTTTCCTAGGCAAATAGATCTGACGTATTCTTTGTTTTGCAGTGCTGTTGTTTGGTAATGCAGGAGGCAGAACCAGAAAAAAAGGGATTTGGTGGAGACCTCCTGGAATGAAAACTGGTCTTCAGACTACAGAGATCGGTTCCCCTGGAGAAAATGGCTGCCAGGAAGAAGAAGAAGAAGAAGAGGAAGACAAAGAGGAGGAAGAAGAAGAGGAGGAAGAGAAGAGGATGGAGGAGATTGGATTTATACCCCGCCCTTCACTCAGAGTCTCAGACCAGCTTACAAACTCCCTCCCCACAACAGACACCCAGTGAGGTAGGTGGGGCTGAGAGAGCTCTTGACAGAAACTGCCCTTAAAGAAGAAGAAGAAGAAGAAGAGGAGGAGATTGGATTTATACCCCACCCTTCACTACCCGAAGGAGTCTCAGAGCAGCTTACAAACTCCTTTCCCTTCTCCTCCCCACAACAGACACCCTGTGAGGTGGGTGGGGTGAGAGAGCTCTGGCTGAAACTGCTCTTTTTCAAGGACAGCTCTTATCAGAACTACGGCTTGCCCAAGGTCACCCAGCAGCTGCAAGTGGAGAAATGGGGAATGAAACCCGGTTCTCCCAGATTAGAGTCAGCGCACTTAACCACTGTACCAAACTGGCTCTTGGAGGGTGGACTCTTGAAGGGTGGACTCTATGGCATTATACCCCTCTGAAGTTGCTCCCCTCCACAAACTCCACCCTTCTCCGGACTCCACCTCCCAAATCTCCAGGAATTTCCCAACCTGGAGCTGGCAACCCTCAACAACTGCCAGTCGACCTGGGCTGCTGTATGGATGCCATATAAGGCCCGATTACGACAAGGCATTCCAGTGCTGGACTCAAAATAGACTTACAAGACAGTAAGCGATTCGCCACGTTGACAGCTTGGGAGAGACGTATTCAAGAAGGAAAACTTCATCTTCTAAACATGAGGGTTTTTTATTTTAATGGAGACTGAACTTAAATTGTTTTGCAGGTCATTGTAAATGTCAAATCCACACAACTGTGAGGAACCTAACCCTGGCCATGTAAACAGACGAGAAACCCTTTTAAAAAAAGAAGACGATAGGGGAAGGCACATGGGAGCCCGCCAAGTTTTAAAAGGCTCGTTGCTATGCGACTCCGGGATCTTCGGAAGATAAACTGCCCTTTAAACGGCAATGAATGCCGTTAATGGGGAGTCCTCAGTATTTATATGGACTTCTTTACGAGGTGTTTCCCTTAAACGCGATGACTGACCTCGACTGAACAGTGGCTGGGGTCATATTTCAGTTACAACAACTTGGCAGCTAAGTCCAGCTGATGAGTGGGGTGAGGAACTGTGTTTATGCCACTTTCTAGTGTGCCAAAAGGTGTTCCTGCATGTGACGGAGAACCCTGCCTGGAGGAGGAGGAGAGGAGGAGGAAAAGGAAGAAGAAAAGGAAGAAGAGATTTGGATTTATACCCCACTCTTCACTACCCAAGGGAGTCTCAGAGCAGCTTACCACCTCCTTTCCCTTCCCCTCCCCACAACAGACACCCTGGGATGTCGGTGGGACTGAGGGAGCTCTGATAGAAACTGCTCTTTTTCAAGAACAGCTGTGGCAGAACTATGCCTTGCCCAAGGT